ACCAGGCATATCTATGTGAAAAGCAACTTCTGAAAATGTTGTTTCCTACTCCGTTCCTTAAGGCTGACGTACTTCTTTCTCAATGTAGCTCCTGATTCTCCTACAGCCTACACCTGCACAATTGCCCAGCAACTACAGTAAGACAGTTCCCAGCTTTATTGCTAACATGAAGTGTCACCATGCTCTGCACCATGTGTCAGAAGTTACTTGTATTAGTCTTTAAAAGTTATGCTCCTCCATAAAGAATCAGAAGAGAACTTTATCCATTCCTGGCTTTTGTTTGCTATTTCACAAGCACAGCTCCAAAGCCAGCCTACAAATGGCCAAGGAAAATGAGCGAAAACAATGCTGTTGGATACAAAAAAATGCATCCTTCAAAACAGAAGAGGTGGCTTTTCAGACAGAGATGAAAGAGGAATGCATCCTTGAACTCTTTTCATCTAAATCATTTCACATGCTCTTAGCATGTAAGCCAGTGTTGTGGTTTTAAGCATGCAGAAAGTCTCATCCCATCCAGGAAGACCAACATTTTTCCTGCAATAAAAATCTCCACCCTGGACAACAAACAAGAATGATCTTCTCTTCACAGAAGTGCTGAGATTGCACTTGTCAGTGTGAGCCTCGAAAAAGTGAGAAAGGAGTATAACCTCCTGTGTTATGTTTTTGTGGGAGAGAAACAAGAGAAGGGTCCCTCAACCTCTCCTCTTCAAACGATTTCTAGGAGTCCTTAATTTTTCTTTTCATGCCCCACCTTGTCCTGTCTCCTAGAGGAGATAAGACAATGTGAAATAAGACTTGCTGTGGATTAAAAATACATTATTAAATTTTTATTTTCTTGATTTTTTTACCTAAAATAATAAAAGACACCTTGATCTTTTAAGCTCCTGAGTTCAGCTTATTTGAAAATACAGTATCTATGTAATCTCTATCATCTTACGGGGCCATCAAATTCCTTGTCCAGAAACTAACAAGCTATGAAAATACCAAAAGAGATCATAGGAGATTTTTTTTTATACATACACATTAATCAGATAAAAAAAGAAATTAACGCAGTGCTAATTTTTAAGCTGTTATTGTACTGTCCTACCCAAGTTACTTATGCTTTCGTAATCCAGATGCTCTCCCTGACTCTTGCTTCTATCTCAGCCTATAGCTACACAAACCTCAGTGATTCTAGCAGCTGAGAATTAATACATACTCCTTTATTCATCTTAACCACCCTGAGTTTTCAGTTTCAGATGTTAACTTCTGTCAAAACCAGAGTAACTCCATTTCAAACTCATTGCATTAGCCCATGTTCAATCAAGAGTCATGAACAAGTTTTATCTGCAAGTTCTGTAATAAACACTTCACTTAACTCCCAATAAGAGCTCACTGAGAAAAAACTTGTTTGTCATGATGGACAGGCGGAAATTATTTACTGTAAGATCATGGTTCTTAAAAAGTAGGCTGCATCCACATCAAACAACAGACAATTTTTAGACAATTTCTCTTTAAGAAATATTCAAGAAATGTTTAGTTTCCCAGACACAAAAATTTTAAACTTCCCCTTTCTTTAGATTCTTTTTTCTGGAGATAAGTCATTTGATTCAATGCGCTTGAAATGAAGGATTCAAAAGAATTTATAACTTAGATTTAGACAATCTTTCTGCCATGTCATTTATTAAAAAAGAAGGTTTTATTAATGTAACAATTGTTACTAGTTATTGAACTAGTTTCTGCAAGTAAATACATACTGCACAATGTTGATATTTAGCTGCTTAATGTTTGCACAAATCATTTCTTTGGTGGCAGTCGGGCCTTGATCTAAGTCTCAGCTGAGTTGCAGGTTTTTAACAAAATAATGTTCCACGTGAATAAAAATGGCAGTACATTGCTCTGTCTGATATTTATTGCTGAAGTGTCTCTGCGGTTCCTTTATTGCAGCAGGAAAGTTAGTAAAAATCATATAACTGAACTCCATCACAAGGCAAAAATTAGAAAGCCATGCCTTCTAACACCAGTCAGCTAGAAGCACTGTGTGGACAGATGTGAAGCAGAGAAACTACCACAGACATCAGGCTTTAATAAGGCTGCATGTCAGTACACACACAGAAGACTTATTGAGAAAGCACTGCAAAACAGAAACTCAGTGCACCCTTGGAAAGTGAAAGGGTTGAAGAACTGCTGTGGGCAAATGATGTGCTGAGCTGTAGGCTTGTATTCAAATAGAAACCCTTTTTACACACAGACTACTTCATATTAGAGACATTTGTCAGATCTCCTACTAAATAATTCTATTTTTGTCTGAAAGATCCCTGATGCTGTATACGCAAATAGGTCTGCATGTATAAAAGTAAAACTGTTCTTCAGTTTCTGCTTTTACTCACCTCACTCAAATTCCTCTCTGTTATTTTGTTTTTAGAAGTTTTCTGTATTATTTATTAATGTAGGGTTATCAACAGTATATATTATCATTATCTGCAGTTCATCTGCCTGAAGCATCTATCTGTACTATGTGCTACCTCTTTGCTTAAATTCCAGAATGCCTAGACTAAAAATAATCATACTTTTAGGGCTTTCTCCTAACAAGTTTGCATGCTCAAGGGCCACAAGACGAATGACAAAGCTCTCTTGTGTACAGGGATAGGCAGCTACAGGAATAACACAAAGGATGGAAACTGTGAACACTTTTTCAGGACCTCTCTACTCCTCTGAATGGGTCCACTGGTGTCACAGTGGATTATGAAGATAAAGTGTACTGAACAAGTGGAAATCCATAAGCAGCTTGAAGCACTCACTACCCACTTGTGAAGCACAGGTTACACAGAGCTCGATTTATTTACATGCAAACGTCAGCTAAAATGAGGTGACTTCTTCACTCTCTTTCTACATTAAAAGCTTAATTTGATACTGTTGAGTTCCTGGAACCCAGAACCTACATGTACCACAAAGTAACAGCATATTTTTAAAAATCAGGAAAGCACTTGCAAGTTAAATAACTATAATAAATTGGCACTCCAAGCAACAGATTTTTTATTATTGTAAGTATGGCCAACTAGATTCACCTGCAAGAGTAAAGCTAATCATTGCAACAATGTGGCCATGGTAACTGTTTATCAAGATTATTTTTCAAGTGTGCTTTAAGAGAACAGAGTGCAGATACACATCTTTAAAGATGCATGGCTGGAAAGAAAAATAATTATTCTTTAAAAGTTGGGGAAAGTGTACCTGCTTAAAATAGGCAAAATAGTAGATGATTTCTGTAGCAGTTAATCATAATGATATTCACATAAGAGCAAATTAAATGCTTCACAACCACCCCCAGTGCTTAGCTGGGTAACAGAAACAGCTCTTTCTGGCAGATAGAAGTTCAGTGATAATTTCAGGAACGTTATTATTATTAACCCTCCTTTATGTCTTTGCAAGAGCATTTCAAATTTTAAAAGGAAAAATAATTCATTCTTTCTCAAAGACAACAATATTAAAAATGAGTGTGGTGTTCACATCAAAATATTGGTCTTCTGATCTAGTGCACCTTCCATTAATTCCCAGGTGACCAACACTGTTTTACTTTCAGATAGATGTAAATGAACGGTGGTTACATGGTGGTAAAAGTTTCTCACGTGTTATCCTTCCTTCATCTCTACAATCACAAAGCTGGGCTATCACCAGCTGAAATATTTTTACATATGAAATAGCACTGTACTGGCCTTTCACGTTCAACATCCAGTACTCAGAGAGGCATTAACCTCTTTCAAAGAAAAGATCTTTGTTTCTTTTGATGAAATATCCTATTCTCCTCCTGAGAACTCCAAAAATGTACTGGACCCACACAACACATAGATCCTCAGTGACACAATTTTAGGCAAAAAAGTTGACAAAGTGATTACCCAAACAGTTCAGTTATAAACCTTCTTCTGTTCAGAAAAGAAGGGCTAGACATTAATTCTACATTTTCACCAAGGTGTGATTTTGGGAGTTGAAGGGTCAGAAGAAAATGAGCTACTGAAATCAGTGTTAAGTAGTTCTATTAAAAATCTGTTAAATGTTACTGGACCAGGTGAGCTTAATCAGTTCTTTCCATCTCTAACTTTATAAATTCTGCTATTCTTATCAACATAATGAGAGATCCTTTTAGACTGATTTTGGTGTCAATCTGAACTAGCATTATGTCAAAAAAAAAAAAAAAAAAAAGGTAAGTCATTTACTGTAAGCTCAGAGACTTCATTTTTGCAGCAGATATTCTGTCATAGTTTGCTTGAATTCTGTGGCAGTAAATTACAAGATACGTCAATGTAAAGCGGCAGTGATATCATTTATCATTAACTTGAAGAGGCCATTATTCAGCTCTGGAAGATGGCTGTTTTATGAAATACAAAAGGATGAGATCATGATTTAGCGACTAGGAGAAGTGTTCATTTTCCAAAACAGCAGTGTATAGCAAGGGTGAAAAAGGCATGAAGCCTAAACAGTTGATAGTGCATACTGTTTTGATGTTCTCTATCTTACTTAAAATTGGCTTTTAGAAAACTTGTTACTGATTAGCAGACACTTTTTACTGGTTGGCTGCTATATCTGTTGCGCTTCTTTCTCTGCAATTACAACTCTCACAAGCTAACTCAAGTACATGCCCTACATAAGTGTCAGGAGAAAGATTTAAAGAGGTATAAAGCTTTCTACGTTCTAAGGTTATTTGAAGTATTAGAGTTTCTAAATATGTGCTTTAGAGAGTCCAGAAATTATCTTTTTTTTTTTTTCTTTTTGACGTAGTCACTAATGTATTTGGCTGCTTAACGAAAATTATCCCCACTTAGGAAGCTTACTTGTGTAAATAACTAATTGGATGCTTTTTTGTTACGACTAATTTTGCAAAGATTGAAGATGTGTTCAGCACTGAAAAAGGAAGCATTCAACAGAACACAGTCTCAAATGCCATAAAGTTAACGGTTTCTAGAAGAGATTAAACATGGGATTTCTCTTTTTATGATGCAGTCAATAAAAAGCACAGAAATGCCTACCTTTTCCAGCTGGTGCATCCCTTCCTCAACACAACAAATGGATGCCAATGTTCTCAATGTCTGGGGATAAAGGCACCTGAAATAATCCTGGCGGCAGATCTTAAAGAGAGCAACGACACCTCCTTCCTGCAGATGAAAAGCAGAAATTAGAAAAATAGCACTAAACTTTTTTCTACAACATGATTGAGATTGGGACAGAGGGAAGGGCAGAGTCCTTTATTAATATATCCAAATTAGCTATCATCAAAACAACAAGGATGTTAAACTTGCACAGATAACTCAAGTTGATTAACGCTTATACAGAAAGTGATGAAAAAGTAATACAGCCTCAGTAGGAGGTGTGCTTAAGCAGTCGACTTTTACCAATAAGACCAAATTAAATTAAACTTGACATCCATATGAAAATGACAAAGAATTATCAATAGGCTGCAACTGGAGTGATATTTAATTGACAGTTCAACTACATGCTATCAATTAAAAACAGATTTGTTAGCAAATATTTCACATTCCTCTATGTTTCTGATATCCATACCATAATTTTACATTAATAAAATATGAAAGAGAAGGTCGCAGGTTGAAGAGCTGTCGAAAATGTCAAAGGTGACAAATTCTACAATGATACAATCCATATATTTCTCTTCTAGCACATAAAATTTGCATTCCTACGCATTTTTCTTCAGATACGGAACATAACAAAAAATAATTGAGTATATAAAAATCCCTCTAGTAGCTGCCCTTCATTTCCTGCAAAGTGCATAAACATAAATAGTAGCAAAAGTTACATAATAAATGGAAAGGTACAGATACAAACAATATATGCACTTCAGGTTTTTCTTGGACTGTGTTGTTTCTAAACGTTATGCTTGCCAGGCAAACTACAGAAGCTTTAATTGATATTTTTTTTTTCCATGTAAAAGTAGCCACACAGTGAAGAAAGAATTTTAAACGTTATTCACAAATGAAAAACCTTGGTCTAAAGTAAGTACTGATACTACAGGTATGAGTTAAAATTAATTGGAATGATGGACCAAGTTTAGTGTAGATTGTTCAGACTAAGCCTACTTAAGTAGCCTCTAAAAAAAATATCTTTCAGATTTACTTATCATCTTCTTCTCTTCCTCCAGTTACAGTATTTGAAATCTCAACAGGTTATTCTAACAAAAAATGTCCAGAATACAATTCAGAATTCTTTCACATTTTTGTGCTAGTTCTGCTGGAATTTAGCAGAGAATAATAGAGTAAGATAATGTGTCCATTCAGCCTGGCAAAAAATAGATACTGTCTTCAAATTAAATTAGACAAAAATTAACATCTCAACATAATTTCAGGATTCAAATTTTTTATAGTATCTTTACAGACATTTGTGCCATTTCAATGAAATCAGTGAAAAGAGAAGGCTTAACAAGGTTTCTTCAGAGTAAAATTTATTTGTGGAATTGTAAGAAGTGCATGTATATCTTTGAGTTATTTTATATCTACGGTGGCTATATTCAGCTTACTGCACAAAGACATTTCACAGCCTTTAAAATAAAAGGCAGAACACTAACAAGAAAAATTCCTACCGTGATTCTTCCATCCATAAAAGGATATTGGTATTTCCCCCTTGCAGTAATTGAAGTATCTATTGATAAGCATAAAAATGAGTACAGTGCTGTCCTCATATCTGAGGTAACTGGGATTTCTTTGGTCCTATTGTCAGTATGAAAGTACTCACAGTTCTGTGGGATCAGAGAAATCTGGTTCTCTAATTTGATTATAATAAGCAGAACTTTGTGAATGACAATAATGACAACTGCACGTTGGCTTCAAGCTTTCTTTGACAAATGGGTGCCTTGCTCTTGTCTCTGAGGGACAGGAAGTGATTTATCACTGTGTTTGTTGGGAGAAGATCCAAATTGTTTATTATGTGCACCGTATACCATTACCAAGTTGTAAAATGTTGACCATAAGTAATGAATCTCAAGAGCTGTAAGTGAAATATAGAGCAAGTAGGAAATAGTGAGCCTGATTCTATGGCTTGTCAAAAGCACTCAGGTGCCCAAAGCTTTATTGGTATCTCAGCATTCTCGAGAAGTAGTTCACCTTTTTCTGAATCTGTCTCTCTGATGATGGCACAATAACTGAGTTACTCCATCTCACAGGGCTAAGTATAATTTGGTCACATTTATTCTTGTACTTTATACTTATTTACCACTCAAAGAATCCTAGCAGCACAAAATTTTTCTTGGTTTGGAAATCAGCCAGCTCTATACCTTTGCTAAAGCTCCTGATATATGTAACCATGCTTTCATCTTTCTATTTATCCTCTGTAGACTTTTGGTCGATAACTGGAACCAAAAGAACACCACAAGAAGCACTGTTCTTGCTGTAATTCAGGTTTCATTTGGGACAGGCTTCACATACTCTGCAATGATAGGGCAACTTGCTTTACTGCTTGATGATCTGCTTTTCTCCTATACTGGATTAGCAGGAATTCAATTTCCTAGAGAATTCCCTGATATTCAGAAGGCCTAACACTAGATAAAAAAGAAATCACCTGAAATACAATCACAAGTATGTGATGAAGGATGTCATGAGAATAAAAAGCCACACTGCACAAGGAGTTCAGTGAAGAGTGAATTTCACAGTGAATTTCTTTTAAAACATTTTCTGTGTTACTTGATGTCCCACTATGTATTAATTTTAATTTTGGAACTGATTGCTATGGATTCTTCTGCTTGTCACAATCCTGAATCAATTTAGAGACAGTCTACTTAAGCAATGCTAGAGTTTTTGACAGGTGCTCAAATTCACTCAAAGCATTTAATTTTTGTTTTTTAAAAACTCTATGTGATCTTGGAACATGATGGTAGAGGTTCAACAACAAAGATACTAATTTGTGGGTTTTAATAAGAAAGATTTGAAGATCAAAATCTAATAGACTCTATTATGAAAAAGATTGTGAATACACTCCTGTAAAGGATGCAGCCACAGACAATGATATAATTAAGTCATGCTATTTTATGCCTAAGTACATGTCATGTACATGAGATATGACAGATGAAGAGGATATTAGCAACATTCAGATCCAAAGGTAAGAAACTGATCCACTGACAAAAACTTGACTGAAACGAGCTTTTGCAACAGATTCTGCACCTGACTCTTCCTGTCCTCACTTTCTCTTTTTGCTTTTAAGCTCAATGGTGGAGTTTCCTTTCTTGCCCCTTCAGCATTGACAGTAGATGAATGTGGCATCTAATTCAAAATCCTCAGCATAGCATTTATTTCTATATTAGCTCAAAATTCAAGGATTGTTATGATCACTATTATTATTTAATTTTAAGATTTCTCCATTTCTTATCCTGTGCTTACTGCTACTCGTTTATGTTAGCGATCTCAGTCTTTACATTTCATGTGGAGAACACTGAGCAGCAATGGGTGATACAGCAACATGAGCTTCACAGAACATTACAGTTACATTTCCAAAAAGAAAAAAGATATTGAACTCATTTTAACTTTAACCTCAACACTCAAAACAATTTCCAAGTGAAATAAAATCGTAGGTGGCTTTGTAGAAGAGGATTTTTGCCTTTCAAAGACTTTGATTTTGATAACAGTATTAGCAAGGGAAAATAAGGAAGAGAGTGTAGTGATTGAAAACCTTACCCAAATGAAAACAATAGATCAATTTCAGGCAGCTTTCCAAAATTTATGTCATTCTTGATTTTATACTCAAAATTTTGATGTATCACAGAGCCATAATTGATAGCTTAACACAAAAACCACTAAATGCATTTCACATATTTCTCTGAATTATTCCACTTCTCTGTCCAGTTTTTTCAACAGTAAGAGTGTTCTCAAAGGAACTTCTGTGTCCACAAGAAGTTTTGAGATCTTTGCAAAATCCATTCTTGCCCTTGTAATGAGCTGGTGCAGTGCCAGATTATTGTTTTGTTTTGTTTAAATCACCTTGCACTTTCCCTGTCATAGCAACCTATTCGAGTGATGGAATACAAAATTCTCGTCCATCACATTTCCTCTGCCCCCATGCTCAGTGATGCAGGTAACTGATACAACACAGAAGATGAAGGTGAGTCTGGACAATTACATTTCAGTGCATAGAGGAAACAGATGTGCATGACAAGCGACACAATCACCACTGTAGTTTGGCAACCAAACACCACATAGGGTTCTTTGCATAAGAGCATGCATTTCCTCACTTGGAGATCATTTAGCGCATCCTGTGACACATCCGTGTAATATTAGTAATAAATTAATTTAGTGATTTTATTGAAGGTCAGACTTCACTTCTGCTAAATGGAACTGTCTGTGGAATTCTCACAATGACAAAAAGCACAAGACAATTTTCCTCAATTTGTTAGTCCTGCACTTCCTCAATATTCAACATTTTAAAATTGTTTTGGATACCACTGAGTGGAGCTCAAATACCAATTCAGAAAAAATTAAACCCCTCATGCAGTTGCCAGAATCCACTACACATTTGATTCTGCTTCATTCAGAGCCTTCAGTGGCATCTTTTGCTATGCAAACATCTATAAATATAGATAGAGATAAAACTAATTAGATAGTTCTATTTAACTTCATCTCTGAGCAGGACAACTGGTTGGCATGTTCTCTCTACAAACAGAAGCTTGAGAAATTCGGGAAAAGATATTTCCCTCTATGTACACTGAAGATGAGATTATTCTATGCTTGACCTCACAAAATGCCTTTCCTTTCTCACTTTTTCAAAATCCAAGTATCAAAGGTATAGACTTTGCAGTGATTGATAGAATTATGAATCTCAGCAGAGCAATGGGTTTAAATCCAGTGTTATCAGCAAATTCATCAGTTCATCAGTAAATGAGAACACACTGCATGAAGTACCTATGCTGTGATGATATCCTTCTGCAAAGTATTTCTAAAATTACATCTTTAATAATATCTCTATCATCCTCAGTACAAATAGCTGAAGAGTTTTTCTGTTTCTCTGTGTACTCAGTAGCTATACACATAATCAATTGCAAAGTTTCTCTGCTTACATGGCTGATACTTAGAACTACCATCTGCTGAGACACTAAAAAGATACCCAAAGTGCTGAAAGGAGCAGCAGTATACCTGATGATACAGACAACTGCAGTTGAATCAGTACCCAGGAGCCAGCTGGAGCTTATCCTACTCCAGTTGCCTGTAGAGGCCTTGAACTTTAATGAAGAACAACCTTTGGAGAGAAATGCCAACAAACTACCTATGACAGATACTTGTTACTAGTGATGCTGTTTAGAGCTTAAACATGAAGGTGAGATAGAAGTCAGGGCAGCTGGCTTTCTTTCTCCCTGCCCTTGGCACTATAACTCCTCTATTTTGGTATTTACAAATCCATAATTGAGATAAGGTGCTGAAATGCTAAAATAAAGGTTTTTCACGCAAAAGCATTGGGCTGCTTTTAAGAAGTTACTTCTCCTTGGGTACTACCTTTTCAGTACGTATTCCTCTAATATTTATGTTTTTAAGTTTAGTTTCAACAGATTAAACTAATTTCGGGATGCATGTTTCATTTGAACTCAAATTGACAACTGAAAATTTCAGTCCAGAGCAAAATTTGACTTCAAGCATAGCAAAGTGTAGCAATAACATCTGAAAGGCTTAAGAAAGCTGTATCAGAAAGACAGAAAACACATCTACAGGTTTCCATTCCTCTGCTTCCCCATACAACTTTTGTCTGAATTGCTCGCCTGCAATGTAAAGAATCATCAACATTAATTGGGCACTTGAAACTACTGAGAATTTCCTTCCATTTCACTTCATTTGGGGTAATTAATTAAATTATGCTATTTATGTTATAAGAGCACATTATAAAGCAGGAATTTTGGGAGAGGATAGGAGGAACATAGGCAGAATAAAATAACAGCAGCCTTCCAGTTGAGAGGATGCTATCAAGACAACATAGTCAGGGCCCTATGTAGAAGTAACTGGCACGAGGAACTTTAAAAAATGACACAAATTGAAACAAGAGAATAGCCAACTGAATGCTTTGAAATAGCTACATCATGAAGAGACATCAACTGACATGAGTCTTCTTGTCTACTTCCTTTTCTCTTTCACACCTTCAATTTATTTTGAAAGCAACAAAAGGAAAAAGTTCTTTAGAGTAAGTTTCTGGCATTCTTCAATTTACATCACATCTCCTAAGACACAGGATTTCATGTTGTACTACTCTACTTTTGAAAACTCACCACCACTAGGGTGAACAGTAAAATAACCTACTCAGATTACTAATTTTACTTTGAATTAATCCATGTATTTACCCCCTTACCTTAGCTATGATACGGCACAGATGAGTACCTTCCTGGGTGAGGCTGAATAAGCTGTTAATTGCTGACTCAGTGATGTACACACTATCCGAAGATTCTATTTGTCTCAGCAGGTTCTGTATGACGTAAGGTAATTAAAAACCAGTTACTTCCAGTGATAAACACTATTGTATTTAAGATGAAATACAGTAGGAAGTCAAGCCCATTTACTCTATTTGATATTTTTTCTTCTCACCCAGCCCAAGCAAAAATAATAACAAGGGCAAGAGTCAAAACAGTAATATTATAACACATTCAATATCACATTTGAATAGACATAACTAAGAACAGCATCAGGAAAAATTAAGCATGAATAGAAAAGAGGAATGTGTTTGAAAACGTTAAAAAAAGAGCTCAAGTTATTTAGTAAATTATTCTTGTATTTGACCTAGAATTGAACTACAAACTTAAGAAGGAAACAGCCTCCATGCAGAAACTGTATCACAGGTTGTGTAAATATTCTGCATTATTCATATGTAATATTGCTATACCCTTTCTAATATAACTTTCTGTCTCTAGGATCATCATTATTGTCAGTTTAGGCATAAAACTGAAAGGTGATACTGGCTAATAACAGGAATTACTAGGAGAAATATGTTTCATGCATTTGTTTCTCAGATACATGAAGTAGGTAAAATATTTTTATATTTGTAAGTAGTTATCTTACATCTTCATGTGTGCCATTGCAGTTGCACAGGTAAACATAGCTGTTAGAAAATACAAAGCTTAATTTTATTCTTTGAAAGTTCATGCAATCACAAGAAAAAGAACTAACTGTATTTATTAGAAGGAGGAAGGCAAGTGTTTATGTATTTAATGCGGCTTTGAAAGAAATATCCCTTATTATATTTTACACTGTTACTGACAGAAAATTCATGTATCTTCCCTTTAAAAGTTGCTTTCTCCCACTCTTAGTGTCTCCCTTAAATAATCAGTTCCCACTTTAATATTAATCCTTTTCATCAATAATTCCTTATACACTGATCTGAAAAGAAATCTCTTTAGTAACCAACCATCATGGCCTCTCTTTCAGATGCTTTGTCTTCTCCAGGGCAAACTACCCACAGAAGGCAGAACCTTTAAGGCAGAACTGGGTGCACAACATGGCTGGATGATTCTGAGAAATATTACTTTCATGTTTTTTATTAACAACCTCTTCTCCAAGAACTCAGCAATGCAAATGCTTATGGGATAGTGCAGAGTAATTAATCTTGCTTTCTTAAAACATATAGGGTCTAGGATTTAATGTGTCAGCAAATATCAAAGTATCCAGAGGCAGAACTATTAGCAATATAGGACTTCTCTTCAAATTCAAGAGAACAAACATCAGAAGAATGACTGCCTACTCACTGAAATTGCAACATGCAGTTATTTATGCACTAAAGTTCATACACCACCTTTCATGTTATTCTTATAAATTCTAGCCAAAGTGCGTTAGTCAGTAGCTTGTTACCTTGTAGCTTGTTATAATTCTGAAAATATATTCTTGACGCTTTCTAGCAACTACAGAAGATGATTCAACTTTTGCTAATTTAAAGCATCAAGGTACAAAAGAATTTAACCAATACCATTCAGTATTTTGTTTTAGTACAGTAGTAAATACTGTTTAACAATTACTTCTTCAAGCCTCTCATTCTCCTGATAGGATAAAAAAAAAATTCAATATAACATCACTTCTGAAATATGGACAAATTAATTGAGCTTAATTACATTTGTTGGGGTTTTTTGAGCAAGATTAAAGGGTGCAAAGAGACAGTTAATGAGATCTCAAGAAAGAAACTAGCATAAGATAGATTGCTTAGACTTTCAAGTTATTACCTCAAGAATGGTTTAATGGACAAAGTATAATGCATCTATAATCTCAGATTACTCTGTGTTTTATCAACTTTTAATCACCACTGGAAATTACATGTCATGCCTGTAGTGATACAGCAGTATTTCTGGAATGCTCTATGCACACACACAGAAAGTTTTGCTCTCATCAGTCCTCACACTATGGAGGAGGGAAGTATTCCAAAACCAGTGGTGGTTATGATAAGCCCATGCAAAGGGTTATTTGCTGTTTTGGTGCAAACACAATACTGATAGTCACACATAGCCTGTACAAAGGTTGTTATTTTAATCACGACTTCCCAGAGTCTAAGATATGCTCTAGGTAAAATGTGTGCTGTAATAATATATATATTATATGTATGTCTTCTAGAAATTTTAGCTTTCAATAGGAGCTGTTGAGAGCAGGAGAAACTTTGAAGTTTCTAAAAAAAGGCAGTGCCTATACAGAGAGAAAAAATGTGTACAAAGGTCTTGTTAAGACGACATTATCCAGAGATTGACTTCCTTGTACTGAAAAAATATGTATCAGGAATGGTAATTAACACTGTAATCCACAAGATCATTCTGCTTAGGAAACAAATCAGGTGAAAAAACACATTTAGATCTCTTTGCAAGATTTTTGAATTACTGATCACCGATTTGCTGAAAAGAGATATAAATATCACCCTTCTCTTAATCAACATTCTCCTTCAAGACTTCACATCGGTAAAGATGTTTATTGTTATTATTACTTTTCTTTTTATACCACAGACTAACCTGCACCTCATGTGTTAAAACCAGCTCTATCAACTGGCCAAAATACTGAGCAACAGAAGTGAGCGTTTCATTAATACAAGATTTCATAGACTTCAGCGTCTGTTCATCTTCTACTTGTATGCACCTAAAATAAAAGAGAGAGGGAAGCAATGAAGGAAAACAAGATGCAATAGACTCCCAATTGTTTATCATCATGATTGCCACAGGTGAGCTCTACACCAGAGTATCAAAGCTTTGTTTGCACATAGTAAGCATAACACCAAAGGACAACAATAGACAATAATAAATACTTTGGGGATCACAATCTGCTTCATACACTGCAGACCTAATTTTGCTGCAAATTTTGTGTTTATACCAGCAGAACTCTACTTTTCTCTTATGCTTATAGTTACAGTCACTCGAGGATGCCTGCATTTCAGCTGCAGCTCTGGTTGTGAAACACAGAGGGACATACTAAGTGTTCTCAATAATTTTCATTTATTTTCTTTATCATAGTTTAATAAAAGCAGGACAAGGGAACAATCTGAATCTGTCCAAATGAATAAAGATCATTTAAGCAACATACTCAAAAGTGAAATAAAGCCCTCTGTGAAGAATGATTACACAGAGCAGCTTTATAGAGTTGGTGTAACCATCCCGTAACCAGGTGCAACTGGTTGCAAAGATAAAGATTCATCATACATTCTACAGATGATACATTCATGCATTCAGATACAGATGAATTATTCAAATGAAATAACTGGTACTGCTGCACAGAAATGCATTATTTTAATTTGTCAAAAATTATTCCACCTCATCAAGCTGCTGCAATGGAAGATACGGTTTTGTTGATCAGGGTTTCCACCTACATATCATGTTCCCTTTTCAGAAGTACCTGTCTTTCATTTAACAAGTTTTTGTCAAACAGAAAAAGAGAGAGAGAATCACTACAAGATCTTGTTAAATCAGCATGCCCCATAGTAGAATAAAAAAGTAAAGTTTGAGTTGTGCAAGTTTGGCAAACAGCATTAGTGCTCAAGGGGTATTCCTTCCTGATCATTACAAGCCATCTTTTCCCCTCATGATTCTCTGAGAAGAATGACTGGTGTGGCATTTGAAGTAGAGAAAAAACAACTGAATTGCAATGGAAGAAACAGGATAATGTACATAAGGTAGGGTAAATATCATGAGAAGGATTACACAGAAATTCTTATTTTGTATTCTCAGCATTCTAGAGTGCATGGCGCTAATTAAACCTACATATGAAATTAAAAGAGTACATATTTATTTGGGTTTAGTTCTCTAATATGTGGATACTCAGAGGAATGCCAACTATGACTATGTCTATAAAGAAACAATATGAAAGTTTTCCACAGAAGCTGAAATCTTGGCTTTCCACAGGGAAACTCTGTGAAAGTTTTGTCACCTACACCATTAGAATCCGACTTTCTCCCTTGATACCTAAAAGCTATGAAAAATGATCTTCCGTATCTACGCCAGGCTCTTTGTGCAACAGCGGATCCCATCTTTTATTAAGATGCAGTTTAGATAAAAGCAATTCACTTCATCCACTGGGGCTAACATTCGGAAAGCCTTTCAGAGCTGCAGGGGCCTAGTTCAAACATTTGAGAATGGTAGTGGATTTGCACTTCTCATCACAAACTCTACAACATAATAAAACAGCAAAACGAATATTTCAATCCAAAAATTTAAATTACCTTTCTGTAAATGATGTGAATTCTGAACACTTGTCTATTAAAAGGTTTTCCATCTGGGCGATAGAAGGAAAAGGTGATTTTTAGTATCCATATGTGTTTGCTCTTTAAAATACATGCTTGCTCATGTTAATCAGGTAAAAAACTCCAGATCTATTATGTCATATAAGCACTATTTCTTTATGTTTTTTTTTTTTTCTACTCTTCTAAATAAAACAAGTAGAGATAAAAATAAGATTAATAAAAACATAGCATCTAGATCTTAAATGCAAAGAAACTCACTGATATTTCATTGCAGTGTTCACAAAAACTAAATTTTTTACAATCTAATTGGTCAACATGACCAGCTTTGACAATCAGGCCTATGATAAAATAAGATCTACATTGACTCCAAAATGGTTTTACAACTGAAAAGAAATTATATAATAAGAAAAAATGAGATTGTATAAAATTGTAATTATTACCAAAAACAAAAGATAAAAGACATCAAATGAAGCATTCCTACCTGATTCATTTCTTCCGACGAACTCCTGGTAAATGCATTGTATTCATTTATCATGGAACGTACATGGCAATTGACTCTTACTGTCATGCTGTGGACTCTTTGCCATCTATTCTTCTCCAACTTCTGAGCAATCCTGGTCAACTCTGTGCTTATTATCCAAGCTCTTTTTAATAGCAACTGTAAATTATCACTTGTGTTATACTGAGAGGAAAGAATGAGTTCACTTTGTTCATCCTTCTCAGCACTGATCGGTTTGGACTGGAGAATACACATGCATTCACAGTCTGTCATCAACTTCAAATCTTCCATCCACCGCTGAACAGAGTCCACCTGCATTAAATGCATGCTAAGAGGCAGGGAAAGAAGGAAAAACAAGATGAGGCAAAGAGATCTTAGAATAACCATCAGCAATAAAACACTGTTATATCTAACCACCAAGCTGCCACTCATTGTCAAAAGGTAACAGACTGAACAAACATTTTGCTTGTAGTATTCATCGAGAACCACGCTTTCCTTTCTATTCCAGTGACAAGTTCTGGGTTTCTGATCACTTTTGCTCTACAGAATTACTACAAAAAGCATACTACAAAAATCAGAGAAAAATCAGTAGAGTTTGGGGATGACTGAACAGAATTTTAAGCTGCAGTTTTGGGGGAAAACAGTCCTGCAGTCCTTCGCATTTGATGGGACAAAGTAACAAAGTTATGTGTTTGCTTGCTGTTTATAGGACTACACTTCGCCTGTCAGTCTCTGCAGAGGACAAGTTTTACCTTGCAACATCTCTCCAAAGCCCTTACATCCACTCTGGGACAGCCAAACCAAGACAACTAACGGTACTGTCAGCAATATCAATTTCTCCCACATCACAATCCCCATACACCTCAGCTGGATTCTTCTTTCTGATGATAACTTCGCCTTCTCTCATGTTTCTATAAAATTTGCACATCTGACTTCCAGAGCACATTTTTGCACTACAGCGATCAAACTATAAACAAGTGAGGCTGCAAGAAACTCCTTGACCAGCAAGGGCGCAATGGCAATGAGCCTGCCTTTTGAGCCCTTGCACACTGACAGAAGCACAGCTGTTAACACATAGAATCAGCAAGGTTGGAAAAGAGCTCTAAGATCATCCAGTCCAATGTCCTGAGCTGTTACACCAAAGCCTGCCTGTTAGAGCAAACTCTGTGATTGCATTAGCCAACATGTGGACAGTGATGGGGAAGGACCTTTCAAGTCTTGAGCTCAGCACTGCTTGAATTCCCTTCCAGACCACAGAGATAATGCTGCACAAATTACCAAATTTTGACATATGCAGGAGGCTCACCTCAAGTATAATTTTACATAAATCAACAGCAGACAAGAGACAAAGGATCAGTTTCATTGATCAGTTTTCCCTTTTCAGCAAATACAGTGAAACTTCTTTCAATTTTAAACTTCTCAAGCTGCTGCTATTTAAGGTCTTTATTTTACTCAGCATTGAGGACTGTGTAATTGTATTTTATGATTGATTGTGACTCACTTTCTTCTCACTATGTGTAGTCTCCTTATTGCTTTTTTGGATGTGAAGCAAGGTTTCCTAATAGACAAAAATAACAACTCCAGAAGTTTGAGATCATGATTTATAATGACATGCACAGTTTGCGTGCAGTAAAGGATAAACTCATTTGACAGAGTAATGTATTTTTCATTTCCAAAGTGCACTATGATAATTGATTAAATCTCTGTTTAGCAAGTACAAATAAACTCTTATATTATACATTCACATGGAGAGAAATACTCAAATATAAGGTTAGTTGGATAAAACAAGAAATAGCTCATTTCCTCTATTCTCAAATAGAAATCTTCACTCCAAAAAGAAAAAAAAATTACGAAATTGCACACAAAAGACTTTAAAGATTCTCATTTGTCTCAGTTCCTACTAAAGTAATTGACCAAAGAACAGTTGTGTAACATAGAAATCTTTGTCATCTGAAATTTAATATCCTTTAATTCCACTGGCAGAAATACCATTTACCTTATCTCAGAACCAAAGGACCACTGAAAACCTCCCTTGTTCACTACATCAACTTTTCTGCTACATTATGCTTTAAACTAAACTCATGATCAGTAAAGTGAAGAAATATGAGTTCACTTTCATTCACTTCTCACATCTCACATCTAAATAGACAAAATCTTCTGAACATTCAAGGCATGAATTTGCAGATTATCTTTTGCATATTAAAATAAGGAAAGCCAAGTACAATCATCCCTAATTAACTTTTAAAAATCATATTCCAGACAGCATTTAATGATGTCTCAAAACAAGTTGATAATTTCCATCTTGTCACCCATTACTGAAAAAAAAAATAAAAAATTACCACACCTACAAAATAAAAACACCCATTATGGGACAGACTAAAAACCTGTCTAGCCCATTATCCTGTTCCCAACACGGCCATTAGCAGATGCATAAGGAACATTTGAGAGAGGCACTGTAGGAGCTGAGCAACCCCTCCTTCCCATCTTCTGTCAATTAGTGGCTTATGAACTTCCTAAGCCAAAATACACATCTGTGAAGGATGTTTTCACAATTCATGAAACAAAAGATTGCCATTAATCCCTTTTTGAACTCAGTTAAACTTTTGGCCTTTACAACATCTAGAGACGATGGCTTACACTTTGATTATGGTTCGTATGAACAACTATTTCTTATAGCTTATTTTAAACTTACTGCCTTGAGATATTAATACAAGCTCTGCAGTTCTTGTATGGCAAGAGATTTTGAAGAGAGCTCCATTCTGGCCGCATTTGTACAATTCACCAGCTTATTCACTGTGCCTGATTTCCTTTGATTTAGCTCATTTTCAAGACATCAAAACTGTGCTTATCCAATCTGTCAGCATACAAAAGTGATCTCTCACCTCTGATCATCTGATTACCCTTCCCCACGTTTCTTAAAAACATTTCTAGTTCTCCTATGGCCTTCCAAGATGAGATGCAGGAAGAGCGCACCATATCCAAAATTCAGATGCATCATATAAATATATATTTGGATTATATTTTCTGTACATCTCCATTTTCCAAGAATACCCTAAATTACTTTTATTTACTTAAGTGCTTTGAAGAGCTATTCCATGTTTATCTTCCAGAAAGCCTAACTACTTTTATTTCAAAATGGATATATAAGTGATAACATAGTTTAGAGTTAGTTGTCCAGTGATGTAAGGTGGTTCTTCAGTTTCTGGCTCCTTCTCACATTTCCAACTATGTTCATTAACAATTAATTTAATCAGATATCTTACTGTTTCAGTGACTCAGTATTGACAGGTACTTCAGTGATTGCGTGGTTGCAGTTACTTTGAATTAACCTGATCAATTTCACATCGTCTGGAAGTGTTGTTATCCTGCTGTTATAACTATTTTTCAGGCAGTTAACAAACACACTGAGCATTATTGGTTCAAGGATAAAAGATCTTAATGGTGCGATTTTGTCCAGATCTGTTTCATTAAAATCCATTAGATAGTTAACTGGCAGAGACCTTCGTGTATAAAGTTAACTCTCCACTAGTTTAACTTTTTTTAATTTAGTATGCCTTGGCATACTGACAAGACAGCAATTTATGAAGACTGCGCACCAAAAAAAGCAGCATTTCATGTAAAATTAGAAGTAATTCAATACAAAATAAAAATTCAAAAGAAACCATTTCTTTAATGTCATCCTATTTTAAATGAGGTTGTATAACAGCTGCAGTTTTTAAGATCATTCAGTTGAATTTCAGTAACTAGCAATTCAAATACACTGAATTCTAGTGTGCTGCCAAATGTCTGTTTAAAGATTGTATTCTGACATAATCATCTGGCTGAAACCAACTTAGGGCAACAACATGTTGGGAGTACGTTTCTTCAACAGATGCTAAGACCTTGTTCCATACGAGCATTTCCACACTACATAACGCTTTGACGCCAATTTCATCATGGAAAAGGACTCATGGGAAAAACATGATCATCTTATGTTTCTAATACGTACATCATTTTGTGAGTTACCAGCTCTTTTCTTCTTTTTTTAATAAGTAGTAGGCTAATGAATCACGTGATCCTTAGGACAGACCAAGCAACCTTTTAGATAGCAATCCTCCGTCTCTCACATTGGTGCAATATGAATACAGAAGTACAAAAGTGAAGAAATAATAACTAGATCATATTTACAGCTTCCAGCTTGGACCTCTCTACTACAGTTTTACTGGCAGAAATACATACTTTTTTAAATTGCAAGTGTTATCATAAAAAAGAATTATGCCTCCGTTTTTTATACTGAATTTCAATAAGTACAGAAGTTTTGTGTTTTATAACAGCATGTGAAAGACTGAGCTAATCAATTCACATGAATACTCCCAGGGGCCATCACATTTATAAAGTGTAAAGACTTCTGCTGAGTAGAATTATGGGTTTTTTGAGGCTTCTTAGTCTTTTTACTCATTTTCACCTGTTATGACAGATTTATCACAATCCTAATGATAACATTTAGTGAGGCTTCCAGATAAGCCTACAGTGAAAGTTGTTGCCAAGACTTACAACTATGCTCAAATTTATTATTCTAATTAGCAGCAGGTAATTAATTGGCAACAAACAACTTCTCAAATGGATTTAGCCCCCTCTCTGAACATAACTCATCTCTAATTTTTTTCTAATACATCTATTCCAAATTATTCATAGGTACCCAATATTCCCAGGGCCAGTTTCTACATTAATATAATAGACAGCAGAACTCAACTATCAGCAGAAGAATTTAGTGAAGAGCCTTAGAGAAGGCTCTTATTTATACTCAAGTCATTTAACACTATTAATTGCTTGTAAAAGCCTTGCGGATCTGTGATATACTTGCACTAATTTTAGCAAAAATTTAGCATATCTAGGGAAGTAGCTTAAATGATATAGAGTACCTGTAGGGTAGCTGATTTTTAACTGTACACACTTACTTTGAAGACCACTCAGAGTAATCGGGTCTATGAATATTTAGCATTTTAATTGATGTGGCAAACTAAAGCATTAGTTGAACGATTTGCAGTGTTCACCCTTCTCCTCGATTTGACTTTCTTTTCTAGTATATCAGTAACCCAACCTCAAAGACAAAAGAAGAGTTTAGTGTTTGACAGGCTGCCCAGAGAGGCTGTGGATGCTCTGTCCAATGAGGTATTCAAGACCAGGTTGGATGGGGCCCTGGGCAACCCGTTCTAGTATGAGATCTGGAGATTGATGGCCCTGCATGTGGCAGAGAGGTTGGAACTTGATGATGTAACTTGGGGTCCATTCCAACCCAAGCCATTGTTATGAATTAAGACTTCAGAAAACATTAATGGAAAGAAAAGT